GTGGTGGTCTCTTTCTGTCTGTCTTCTGTTTGATAGACAGAGGATTGATACTTGTACATATTTAATTTTTGCGGTAATCTGGCTTTTTTATCCATTTTAGAAGACATTTCTGTGTGGATTTTACTGGAATACGACAGCCAAAGGCACACAAAAAATATGTAAATTTCCAGTTTCCGAGGACTTTCAAGCTTTGAAAATCATAAAACTTTGGCGGCCATTATCTCGTGAATTTTACCTATGATAGGACCCCCTCATTTTTCAATTTCAAATTATTTCTCGACTTCTACAAAAATGGGTTGGGTTTTTTTTCATTAAAAGCAGAGACAAAATGAGAGACAGAGGACTGATATTTGTACATATTTAATGACTTGATGAATATGCAACAGTTGAATGAATTCTAATGATGCCTCCATTACTGTTGAATTATATGTATATTTAAATGATAACTATGTGATAACTTGGCACTGGTACTGTGATATTTATGTGATAACTTGGTATTGTTCCTGTGATCTTTCACGGAGTGACGAACCGTCTTGAGACTGGATGAGAGATAGATACAGAAGTAGACAAATTATGTTCAACTTTCTGGAGAAATGCGATTCCTGATACACACGATGGAAATATCTCCTACTTGTCTGAGCGGGTTAGAAAATTACAGGTACAATTTTTTAATTTAAAAAAAAATTGTCGTGTGACAAAAATAGAACAGGTTCAGTGGTTTTTTTTGGGGGATTGGTTTCTTGGGTTTTTTTGGGTGTTTTTTTGTTTTTTGTTTTTGTTTTTTGTTTGTTTTTGTTTTTGATGCATATAATCATGAATGATAATGTTATGTGCATACACAAAAAAGGGTATTCTAATATAATGTTTGTGTTTGATACTCTATCATATTTCATGCAGGTTTATATAACAGAGACTGATACTCCATCATATTTCATGCAGGTTTATATAACAGAGACTGATACTCCATCATATTTCATGACTTGAAGTGTGGCTCTCTGCTTTGTAAGACTAAAGTCAATTTCACAAATTCCTTTTTCTTTTTTTTTTTTTCTTAAAAATTTTTTAATAAAAAGATTGATTTCCCTGTGTCTGTAATACTTGACACTGAGAGAGGAATCTAACTATCAGTAGGCTATGTAGGAAGTCAAACTTCTGAAATGACTCACCGAATTTGAGGAGAAAAAAACAAAAAATCCCAAGACATGATCATAACGGCCAAGTCTTATCTTTATGGTATTGGTACATGGTCATTTTGATTCCCCCCCCCC